CTTTCTTACAAGAAATCCTATGATTTCCGATTTGTACCACACTTTTTCAAGACTACCTTGTTTTTCTGCCGTATGACATGGAATGGAAAATCGCATTGGTTCGACGTTTACAAGCCCGGTAGGGATTGGACTATGCAAACCTTTAGTTGTTTTGATCACCAAGATGATAATAACTGCGTGTGGTATGTAAGACAAAACGGTCCCTGTACAGGAACGTTTAATGGTTGTTACCCTTGGAACAAATAGGGGTTGCTTGTCAACTCTCAAAATCTACAATAAATACTTGTATTAACTGGTATCGGCAACTGAAAACTCAATTGTTGGTTTGCATGTCAACTGTGTTTTACTTTTAGTTAATGCATGACCACATGAACACTTAAACCGTTAGAAGGATGGACACATTATTTTATGATAAAACGGCAAAATGTTAAAATTTTAAGGAGAGAAGACATCCCAAGCCACCTTTCGATCCATCCTTGCATCCTCCCTTCATGAGAATTATTTCATCATTTTTTAATTGATTTGTCATCATTAGCATAACACCTTTTCCCATAGTTTTATCTACTAAATAATTTATGTTGGAAATCAAAAAAGAATTCAACTTTTTAAAACTTAATAGATCAAAAGTGCAGAAAACTACTTAAACTTGATAGTTCAATTCTTAAGTTTGGTTTAAAAGATGTGACCACCTAGATGGAAGTTGTCTTCAAGCAAGACTGAGTCATTGCATTTTGCACTCTTTGTGTTTGTCCATTCGTTTATTTGAACCGGAACCTGCATTGAACTCTTTGTTGAGCGTCTTTTTTTTTTGCTCAGCAAAAGAAATTTTTTATTAAATAAATCATGAGTCAAGAGTCTCGTTAAAAACCTCCCTGCCCCCTACAAATTTTGAAACCCCTTTACTAAAGACAAGACTAAGAACATATCAACGTTACAACAACCAACAGCCTTTTTGCAACAGCAGTACCTTCAACTAACACTTTAAAGACTTAACACAAACAACATCTCTAGAACCAAACACAGACAAACCGAGCAGAACAAAACAAAGCTAATATTACAATCAGAGCATCAAACAAAAATTCCAGCACTGTAGAGGTTGAACAGACCAACTAGCAACATCACAAAACGTCTCCCTATAGACACGAAAAAACCAGCACCGTAAGCATGTATGACATTAACCCACTTCCATCAGAAAAAACCCGAAAACAATCGGTTGTACGCACCCCATCAAACGCAAAGCAAAGCCATTCCATTACGATCACAAGGCATGTAACAACAAACACTACTTAGATCATCCAAACAGCCTATCAAATTACAGGATGAAACATTGGATATACTCTTTGGGGGGACACCTCTTTGACCAACAAGTCCTCGCAAGAAACAAGAATCCAATCACCTTAGCTCACAGTCAATTGTAATCAATTCAGCTAACCACCAATTCCCCAAGGTTCCAACAACCAAGCTGGAAGGAAGACAGTAAACTGCTGCACCAACAACAAATAAATAGAGCTTAACAGCCGTTATGGACATCAGAAAACAACCAAGCCTAACACACCACACCTAAAAGGTCTTGAGTCTACGCATACCATCATTATCCAGCCAACTTGCCATCCCTTGGCACCTAGTAGTCACAAGAAAAATGCACATTTTAAATTAAGCGAAAACATCCTTCTCGATCTCAAGGACCAAAGACCACCACTGCCACTTGCGCTGTAGGTGGTACTCAATTCAGCTTAGCACCATTCTAGACTCCAACTCTAAACTAGATCAGCCTTACCAACCCAATCAATCATCCAAACAAAAACCGGACAGGGCGAATTTTAATGCAAAGGCCAACGCATCTTCGACATTACCTCCTGACAGTGATCCTGAAAACAAAACTCAGAGCGCACCATTACTCGAAAATAAAAAGCCCCCATAACCTGGAATATCATCTCTCCCAATACCATCCACTTTGAAAGTGACAGAACCAGGCAACAACAATACATTTTGTTGTAATTATTGGCGATAAACAGAAAACAAAGCCAGCATACTAATTAACAACCATCAATATCTCATGAGTCAATGCAAATTCAATCTGATGAACCCTAATTACCCTCCTAAGTACATAAAATTTAATTGCCGAACCAATACCTCTTATGTTCCAGGATAGATTCTTCATCCCAAAAACTTCCCCCTCTAATTTCAATTAAAAAGCATTAGATAACGATTGGGATATGCCTTTCGATTCCTCTGCTGCTACAATTTCCCTAACTAAAACCTCTTCTGGACCATGAAACTCTATCCCCAACACTCTTCCAATCTGCAAAGTTTTCTTTGCTTCCATCTTTTGTCTCTACCATCTATCTTGCAAATCGGAATCTAATAGAGACCTTCCTTCTAGTTCAGTCCAGTCTTCCTCGTACTCTATCTTCTTCTTATTTTTCTTTGCATGGCTATTTCTTCCCTTCCTTGGTTTGTTAACAAAACTGTCTTGAATGCATTGTAAAGAAACTTATCTTTTATTTTTCCAGACCTTTGCTCTTGTATTCTGTCTGCTTTTATTCAATTTAATATCCTCACTCAAATACATTTGTTCATTTAACCTCTGGTCCATATCCTCCCCATCATTCCCTATTTTGGGTTCCCCTCTAATTTGATCTACTAGCATCCCGTCCACTAACCTAGTATCAACTGTTCCATCAAAATAGAAAAATCTGTATAATTATCTTCTTCTTCCACGTTAACACGTGTTTGATCATTTAAAAACCTCCTAGCAGTAACTTCGACTCCCTCCACGTTTTCAGCCTCTTCATTAATTATCTTCTGCACATTCCCACTGTCGGAAATGATTATCCGAAAAGCTAAAGGATTGAAAACCTGAGACCTGCATTTAACTTCTGGTTCTTGGTCTCACGGTTCTTGCTCATGCAACGATATCGCTTTTGACTGCACTTTGCGTTTCTCAATTAGCCATGGTAGAGGTCATGAACCTAGGGAGAGATCGATGAGTACTTTGTTGAACCAGTTTCTTAGCTACTCTAGGTGTTAGATTGATATTTCTGCAACCAAAAAGAAGTAAAATAATCATCAGGAATGAATGAATATTTCTATATTTTAATGCATCTAAGTAGTTCTTACAAACAATCCAAGAAAATGATCGGATTCAGTACTGAATGAAGAAAGGAAAGGATTTAAGAACTGAATGAAGAAGATAATCAAGGACTGGAGAAGATGAAGCTTGAAAAACAACAATGGCGGCACTAGGAGGAATTCAGCCAAAATGAGATATGGAGCAAAGATGAACTCAATATGAATCAATGGTGAAATGAGCAAAATGCAACAAGAAGATGAGAGGATACAATTCGGTCAAGAGGAGAGGAACTTGGGAGAAAATGCAAGATGTTTTAATGAGTGAAAATGAAGAATTCAAAAGGAAATAAAATGAATCAAATACATGGGAAAATGAAGGGTAGAATTCACGGGAAATTGGAGGGGAATGGAAGGCAAATCAAGCTTTGGAAAATTCGTTTTATAGATTTTGAAATATTGATTCATTTACATTTTAGTCACTACAATTCATACTTTACAAAAATTTCAATATAGTCACTTCCAAATTTCAATAAACCTTAATAATATTATATTTAATATTTCAAAAATCATAATTTTGTATTTAAAAATATTTCTCACATTTTAATTCAAAAATTCAATTTACCGAAAATCACAAAAATTATTCGATACAACAAGAAAATTTCTTTTTGTTCAAAGGTATACAATATATGGTATATATTCCGTATACAATATATGAGAAAATCAAGTGTCATCATTCAATTGAAAAATTAAATTTATTTTAATTTATATTTAATTCAATATTATTGCCACAATAATAGGGAGACACATGTCATCATATGATGAAAAGAAAATTAAACATTGCACGTGACACAAAGGGTCCGTTTGTTTCACGGAAAACAGATTCCGGAAAATGAATTACATTTCCTAAAAAACATTTTATGAAAATCATTTTACTGTATTTGGATGATGTTGTGTAATTCATTTTCCACCGATTGGTAAAATTTTTAAAAATTCTTTATTATAAAACGTCAAATACAATGAAAAAATTATTTATTAACAAAATAATAATATTATTTTAAAAATATTAGAATAATTTATTTAATATTATTTATGTCAATATTATTATTAAAATATTATATCTACAATTTTATAAAAATATGATGATTATTATATTTTATTAAAATAAATTTATTATAAGTTATATTAATTATTTATTAAAATTAGAAAAATATTTTTATTACATATTATAATACTATAATTATAACAATAAAATATAATTTTATATTATAAAATTTATCAATAAATATAATTTAATAATTAATATTTTTATTAAAATGATATTAAAATAAATATATTAATATTAAATAATATAAAATAATAATGTTTTGAGTGTTTATGCTTTAAATTGAAAAGTTCGTAAAATGACTTACAATAAGTCAGATCGTGAGTCATTTTCCATAAAATACAAAATAAATTCAGTTGATCATGAAAATGAATTACATTGACCATCTGTTTTCTACCAACCAAATACTGGAAAATGAGGAAAACATTTTTTGGAAAACCAAATACAAGAAAAAAACCAACCTTTAGAGGAATTGAGACCAGCGACCCAGATCGGTAACATGAGCGCTCAACCATTGAGCCAACCTTCCTTTTCGTTCAAAGGTATATAATAAATTGTATATATTCCATGTAGGTTAAGCTAAATCATGCAAGATTTACGTTAGGATAAATTTTTAAATTTTTTAGAGAGAGATTAATTTATAAAATTTTAGAGGCGAAAAAACTAATGATAAAAATATAAGGAAAACTAAAATATATATTAATTACAATGAATGAAATGTAACTTACATGCAACTACAACAGTTTAGAAAAATGAAAGCAGCATGTTTCAATTCAAAAATCATTTATAATGTTGTATGGTGTTTTGGTGAGCATGAGAAGCAAACATGAATCCTTGGGCAATCAGGTTGCTGTGGTTGCTGTCTGCAACGCTGGTTTTTGTTGCAGGCAGAAGCAGAAATGGTTTCATAGATCCTTACGAGAAAGTAATAATCTATAACGATTTGGAAGAAAGGCAGGATCTGACCATCCATTGCAAATCCAAGGACGACGACCTCGGCGTACATGTTCTTTCATACGGGGAATCCTATGATTTCGAATTCATACCACGGTTGTTCGGGCGGACCTTGTTTTTCTGCCGCATGACATTTAATGGAAAATCGCATTGGTTCGACGTTTACGAGGGATATAGGGATGGGGAAGCGAATTTTGGTTGCCAAGAAACCGATAATTGCGAGTGGAATGTAAGAAAAAACGGTCCTTGTACGCGAGTTTTTAAAATTTGTTACCCTTGGAACAAATAGGGATTGGTTAATCACTCTCAGAATCTACAATAAACACTTGTATTAGCTGGTGTCGGCAACTAAATTCACATCTGCTGGTGTTTGCATGTCTATTGTGTTTTATCTTTAATTAATGCATCCTTGGAAGGACAGATGTAGAATTTTAAGAGACAACTAAACATATTACCAATAAAAAAACATTTCAAATATATGATCATTTTGAATTTTTAAGGGGCAACTGTCTCATCCACCAACTTTCATTCAACTTTAAATACTCCCTTATGATAATTGTTTCATCTTTCTTTTTTTAAATGATTCGTCGTCAATTTAAAAAAAAATCTTGAAGTACGGTTAAATTTATCTTTTTATTGAAAAATCGAATCGAATGCACCCTTATATGGTGGGGAAAAACTTTTTAAAAAAATATTAGGAGGTGACAATCTTATTAAATTTTAGAAAGACGAAAATATATTATTAATAGAAAATACAAATAAAATATCTAAAATATATGATAATTTTGAATTTTCAAAAGGGATAAATACCTCCAACTACCTTCGATCCATCCTATATCCTCCCTTCTGAGGATCATTTCATTTACTTTTAATTGATTAGTCATCAGTAGAATAACACCTTTATTAATAGTTTTATCTACTAATTTATGTTGGAAAATAAAAAAAGAATTCAACTTTTTAAAACTTAATAGATCAAAAGAAAACTATTTAAAATTAAATAGTTCAATTCTTAAGTTTGGATAAGAAGATGTGACCAAATTGTTGTTGGGATATGAAAATATACGATACAAACTTATAGAGAGGAAGAATAAAATATAAGAAAATTTACTTGAAATTGAGTTGCTTTGTTTCATCACTTTCAACCCTTTATATAGGAATTTTAATTGACTATTTGAATGATTACATCATTTCATATGAATAGCTATATCTATTCATATGAACAATTACATCCTTTCATTTGAATAATTACTTATAATAACATGAACAATTACAACTATCCATATGAATAATTACACTTATCCACATGAATATGTTTAAATTATAAAACTCAACACTTCCTATTGAAAATTCAATATTAGCCTAAATAAGTTCACACCTAAATTAATTTGATATCATTGCTTACATCAATTTAATTTTGATGTCATTGCTTACATCAATTTGGTTAGGTGAAAATTAAGTATTTTTCTCATGTTTTATTTTCAATGGTTTAGATTATTTAGTGCTTATTTTAATGAGTGGTTTAGATTGTTCCTTGTAACCTATAAATACCCTACTTGTATTTGAGTTTTATCATCCAACAATCAAAGCTTAATTATAAGCATTTGAAAGCTTTCTTAAGAGTTCTTTCCTTTTGCAATTTTGTGAGATTATTCTAAAGAGAGTTTTTCTTCTTCTCGATCAATTAGAGTTTTTACTCTATTTTGATTCTACAATTGGTATCCGAGCCACGTTTTTAAGGTCTCTTGAAATTCTGAGTATGCTCTGTGGCTGCAGTTTTTAACTGATCTTCCACATCAGAAAATATTTCTTGAGTTATTGTCGGGGTTATTACAAACCTTGTGGAGCTTCTTTGTGTTTAGAGTAATTTAGTACTCTACACATTTGTTACTCAAGCTTGTTCAGTGTAGTCAAAGCCTTGCCGTTAAGATGGGTGATCTTCAAGTAGTTGGAGGAATCAAGAAGTTCAACAAAAACTACAACACGTGGGCAACATGTATGGAGTCATACTTACAAGGTCAAGACCTTTGGGAGGTTGTCGGTGGTGGTGAAGTTACACAACCGGCGACAGAAGATGCCAATGGAATCTTGCGAAAGTGGAAAATTAAAGCAGGCAAAGCAATGTTTGCTTTAAAGACCACAATTGAAGAAGAAATGTTGGAGCACATCCGGGATGCTAAAACACCAAAGGAAGCATGGGACACTTTTGTTACACTCTTTTCGAAGAGGAACGATACAAAATTACAACTTCTCGAGAATGAACTTCTGTCAATGGCGCAACGCGACATGGCGGTTGCCCAATACTTTCACAAGGTGAAGTCGATATGTCGCAAAATTTCAGAATTAGATCCGACAGCTGCTATTGGGGAAGCCAGGATAAAAAGAATAATTGTCCATGGTTTGAGACCCGAATATCGAGGGTTTGTTGCCGCTATACAGGGATGACCGACATAACCATCGCTTGTTGAGTTCAAAAATTTGCTTGCAGGTCAAGAAGCCATGGCCAAGCAAATGGGAGGAGTCTCGCTGAAGGGTGAAGAGGAAGCGCTCTACACCAGCAAAAGCAGAGGCACTTTTCAGCGGTATACTGGTAGTGGATCTAAAAAGGATGGTGAAAAGGTGAAAAATTACCAAGAAAAGGGAGGCCCTCATTCAGGGGGAGCATCCAAGAATCGTGGTAATAGTAGAAAGTTTGATGGCAAGTGTTACAACTGCGGGAAGATGGGTCACATGGCAAAAGGCTGTTGGACCAAGAAAAAGCCTGTTGCAAGTAATACTGCTACTTCTAGTTCGAAGGAGAATAGTGAAGATGGTTGGGATGCTGAAGCGTTATTTGCTACGGAAGAAGAAGAATTAGCTCTCACCGTAACAACACCAGAATGGATTGACTACAAGAATGATTGGATCGTAGATTCGGGCTGCTCAAATCACATGACGGGTGACAAACAGAAGTTACAAAACCTGTCTGAGTATAATGGAGGTCGTGTGGTGGTGACAGCTGACAACTCAAGGTTACCGATAACTCACATCGGAATGAAGAAAAATTTTGCTATCTGTGGCTCAACTAACATCATCAGGCCATTATGTCTTATTTGGTCCCCAAGACGTGAAGGTTTATCGTGATGTCAAAATCTCAGAAACACCAACAATGGAGGGATGACGTTTGGAGTCAACTTACGTGATGTCAGCAGAGTCTGCATATGTAGACATGACAAGAAAAAATGAGACATCAAATCTATGGCACATGCGGTTAGATCACGTTAGCTATTCCAAGCTAAGTGTGATGGTGAATAAGTTGATGCTTAAGGGGCTTCCTCAACTAGACGTGAGAACAGACACGGTCTGTGTGGGATGCTAGTATGATAAAGCATACCAATTACCATATGATGAGTCGAAGTTTAAAGCAAAAGAACCGTTGGAGTTGGTTCACTCTGATGTGTTCAGACCGGTTAAGCGACAGTCAATTAGTGGTATGTGGTACATGGTAGCATTCATTGATGACTTCTTCAGGTATGTGTGGGTTTTCTTTATGAAAGAAAAATCTGATACTTTCTCAAAGTTTAAAGAGTTCAGAGACTCAGCTGAAGAAGAAGTGGGAAAGAAGATATGTTGCTTGCGCACAGACAACGGAGGATAATATAGATCAAATGAGTTCTCTAAATACCTAAGGGAATGCCGAATACGTCATCAGTACACTTGTGCCAACACACCACAATAGAATGGTGTAGCGGAAAGAAAAAACCAGCATCTTGCAGAAATTTGTCGAAGTATGCTACATGCAAAGAATGTACCTGGAAGGTTTTTGGCTGAAGCAATGAGGACTGCAGCCTTTGTGACCAACAGACTTCCTCAACCAAGGTTAGGATTTGTTTTACCCTTTGAGAAACTATGGAACATAAAACCTACAGTTAGCTACTTTCGAGTATTTGGTTGTGTATGTTATGTGTTTGTTCCTGATTATTTACGGAGCAAATTTGACAAGAAATATATTAGATGTATCTTTGTGGGATATGACAGCCAGAGAAAGGGGTGGAAATATTGTGATCCAATTAGTGGAAGATGTTACACGTCACGAAATGCGGTATTTGATGAAGCATTTTCTTGGTGGTCCTCAAAGAAGGAGGTGTTGCCAGATTCGAGAGAATTTGGAGACAATCTACTACAAAAGATGGGGGAGCATGTTGTTCAACTCCAAACAAGTTCAGATGAATCAGAAGATCCAAATGGCGATGATGTCAAACAAAGAGTGACTCAGAATCCTTGGCAAACTGACGTGTATCAACAACCAAATGAAGAAGGTGGGCCTAGTGAAACAGAATAATCAATTCCATAATCTCAACTCCGAAGGTCAACAATAATACGAAGACCAAATCCTAAATATGTCAATGCAGCTATAATTGAAGAAGTAACAGAGCCTGAGACGTTCGAAGAAGCATCGTAGAGTTCTGAGTGGGTGACAGCTATGAAAGAAGAAATCGATGCACTTCAGCAAAATCAAACTTGGGATATAGTGCCAAAGATAAAAGATGTGAAACCCATATCTTGAAAATGGTTTTACTAGATAAAGCGACGTCCAGATGGGTCAATCGAGAGGTACAAGGAACGATTGGTAGCTCGTGGTTTCTCTCAATAGTATGGACTAGGCTATGATGAAACATTTAGTCCAGTGGCAAAACTTGTAACCGTACGAGTCCTACTTGCACTTGCAGCCAACAAAGACTGGAATTTGTGGCAGATGGATGTGAAGAATGCTTTTCTTCATAGAGAGCTAGATCGAGATATCTAAATGACCCAACCAATGGGTTTTTAGAGTTAAGATCATCCTGAGTATGTGTTTAAGCTTGGCTCCGGAACAATTTCTTGGTGTAGCAAAAGACAACCAACGGTATCATTGTCAACCACTGAAGCTGAGTATCGAGCAACAACAATGGCAGCTCAAGAGAGTACATGGTTGATACGGTTGATGAATAATCTACATCAACCAGTAGATAATGCAATTCCTTTGTACTGTGACAACCAATCAGCAATTCGGCTGGCGAAGAATCCTGTTTTTCATGCAAGAACTAAACATGTGGAAGTACATTAGCACTTTGTTAGGGAAAAAGTTTTGCAAGAAGAGATTGAGATGAGACAAATCAATACAGATGAGCAAATTGCTGACTTGTTTACAAAAAGCTTGAGTGTTGGAAAGTTTGAACATTTTCGTCGTCAGCATGGCGTGATTCAAAGAATGGAGGCTAACATTGAGGGGAAGTGTTGAAAATTCAATATTAGCCTAAATAAGTTCACACCTAAATTAATTTGATGTCATTGCTTACATCAATTTAGTTTTGATGTCATTGCTTACATCAATTTGGTTAGGTGAAAATTAAGTATTTTTCTCATGTTTTATTTTCAATGG